CATGGACTGGATTGTGGCACTGAGCCTATACTACTACTGTTTGGATTGATTATGTTTTCTTTATGTATTACTTTTCACCCGAAAAAATCGATTAAAAGATTGGTTGAATATGAAGTACAGTTGGAAAATAATAATATGTACATCATTTCGCCCCCACAGTATCTGTTAAATATAGCAACATGATTTGCAGACGCATAAAAATATATTTAATGCCATGCCAAAGTGTTTGTATGCCTTGAGACTTCTTTCTGATCATTATCTATTTTGTATCGATAGTTAGGTTGTTTTAAGTCACATGGATCTTTCATATTAACGAGATAGGTCCAAACAGCCGTGATTATCGTTCATCGGAAATGTGAATGCCAGAAAGAATAGATAGAAAATTTATTCAGTTCTTTCCGAGCTAAAAATGTCATCATCGTCGCGCTGTTCATTCAACTCGGGGCGTTACCAAAAAATTACCAAAATAGTGCAGAGATTGAATCGATATTTTCCATGAAACAATGCCGTAGATTTAAATTTTTGCACTCCATATTCCCTCAAAAATTAATTTAGTCCTACAGAAAATGGTACGAATTTCCCTGCAACAGTCCTAACATTATAAAAGCTTCTGGTCTCGGATTTATGTCAAAGATGGTCTGCTTAAGCTTAGAGCATGTCAAAAAATTTTTATGAATGACTTAGAGAAAAACAATGAACTCCCCAAAAAAACCCTTGACACGTCTTGATTTTAGATTTTAGATTCAAAACAATGCAAAAATAAAATCCGAAACTCTAGAGCGACGAAAACCGAAAATGCAAAAATTAAAAAATACGTTTAACAAAGAGGTATGAATCGTTAACGGTATTAACGGGAGGAGTATCCGTACAAATTGCCCATCGAGCTTCTATTTTTCAATTTACCATCAGTTCCATTTTCTTCTTCTTTGCTAGGCGAGTTTCACTTTTCTTCTTGATGTAAATCGAGATAGAAAAGAATATAGAGAGAATTAAAGTTCATTTAACTAAGTGTAATCTGTTTTAACGCCTACGTTACTTGCGTATTCTAGACATTTCAAGTTTGTCAATCCGTGTTAATCGGCTTCATTGATCATCTTCTGTGTTCCTTTTCGTTTTTTTTTTTCCTCTTTGGTGTAATTCTGGCTTCCCGACTTCAGTTGTGATAATTTACAATTCACACCGTCGTTAAACATACACATCGCAAAACCTGACTCGTGATATGGTAAGTTTAATTTGTGCATCAGCTCCGTTAATGATCAGATATTCCAAATTTGAGTAGAGAAGTGACATTGGAGTTAAGCAAACTGTCGTCCTCGGAAGGTAAATTTGATGTGTTTTCAGGGTTTTTTTTTTCGCAGAGGATGGCCAACAAATGTGCAAAAGTTTACTGATAAGTGTGCAAAGCAATGATTTTCTCATAAATTCCTTGTGTGTCTTCATTCACACTCTTCTTACTCTTTTCACAGTCGCCCTCAACATAACGTCGGTATAATTTCATTTTGGCTTTTTCATCTTTTTTCGCTGTCCTTCCTACACAACCTCTAAGAGCGAGATATGGTTGTCTGAAACTGTACACAATCATTTCGTTGTTTTTAATCTCACTACGGAACTGGAAACTCATGATTATGATCTTTGTTTTGTTAGAGTAAAAGGTCGTCATATATGTTCAGCTAGTTAGTTGAACTGCAGATGTGACTGCGGAGATTCGTTTCTCTAGATTATCAAACTGGTGATTTATTAGGAAACATGTGTTGGTGCGTTTTCGACAATGGTGGAAGAAAAAAAAAAGAGGGGCTGAGAACAAGGCTAACCTGCAACCTTTTGTGTGTCACCTGATAATTTTTTTAACTTATTTGGTTGAAACCGTCGCTTGTTGAGGTTTTCTCTGACTCCTTTTGATAGTCAGTTTTAGAGGAATTTGTTATTGGCCTGAAGAACATCAAGGCACAATAGCCAAGTAGTGTTTAAATGACAAATGCCCAGCTAGGCGACTTCGAAGGTAATATACGATTTATCTTGTATACTCCGGGGCTCCCGAGCAAAAAAAAAATTACACACCACGCGAGAGAAATATGACGGTAGTTAACAGCACTAGCCTCTTCAAAAAATCCTAGGATAAGATACCTAATAGGACCGTTTTTATAGGAAGCACTACAAGGTGCGGTTTTGTACTAATGGTTGGCGCTAATTCCTTGGCTAACATTTGGTGAGGGAAAAAATCTTTATCTTTAAAATTTAGAACCACAGATTCTTACATTTTGGGGGGCTGAAACTATGTTTTAGATTGCTTTGGATTAGATATATGATCAATATTTTTTTTCTGATTTCCTTCTGGTCTCATCAGCGAAAGTACTCAGTGGTCACCGGTCAGTTACAGCCCAATTCTCACTGTCCGAAGTCGCTCGCTCCAGTCCTCCCCTTGAGGGAAAGGAGCGATCCAGAGTCTGAGCTTCAGAATAATACCCCATTCAAACCTGCAAAACGTGTTAAGTTGAACCGGATTTACGCAAGTGAAAATCAGAACATCGGTTTAAGCAGCATCTATGAAGAAACAAATTTAAACTGTGTTCAACAAAACAGCTTTAAAACACGTTTAAGCTTTGGTGGTATAAGCAAGAAATTATAACTATTTATAATCTCGGCTTGATATAAGTCATTAGCAGAATTGAATTTCTTTCACCGAGTTACTTCAGATGAGCATATTATGGGTCACATTCTTTTACCCTCAGTTGTGCATCAGAAATGTTTTAAATGATTCGTTTTGAGGTTCGATTAGGTGGGTTTTTCCCAAGAAAAGGGGGTGGGTGGGGTGGGGGGGGGTATATGAAACGACTGTCTCTGACCACAATAAGCGGGGAAATCAGCAATAATTTTGACTTTCAAGGCTGGAAGTTTAGTAGCATTTTTTTTTTTTTTTAACAAAATACTGCTTTTTTGTCAATTGAGTCACAGCTGACCGACTACAGCTTTCGCGTTTGCCTTGAAAATTTGAACGTTTTACCAATTTAGTCATTACTCAGTTCTTCAGTGAAGTCAAAGTGGCTATGACTCTCTCCGCGTACTCCCAAAACTAGGACTTTTCCCTAATTCTGAGGTCATCGGTAGAAAAACCCCACGCTTCGCGTTATGAACTGAGAGTGTCACGGCCTCAGATTGATATTAATTGTTCTTTCTGACCCGCTCAAACACATTGAATATAATATCACGCTGTTTTTTTAGCTGAATCGCCTCTGAGAGGGAATATCGTAATATCCCTTGTCAAAAATATCCTACGTGATACGACATTTATTACGTGATAACATAGGGATACTTGAAGTGATGATGTTACTGAATTTTTACATAGTCATCTCCAAATAATAATCTTTTTTTAAAAACCAAAATTGTCTTACCAGACGGCAAAATATTCCAAAGTGACAAGAAAGCTTGTTAAAACGGTGTGTTCATATCTCCCTTTAAAACTCGCCCATTCGTTTTCGTGCACACGTAAATAAGATTTAACTTCTTCTTTGGGTGATCGTAAGAGTAGAATTTTGACACGTTTTCTTTGACTAGGTCACGTTAAAGTGATGACGTCATCACGACATCCGGTCTAGTTTTAACCCGATCTTTCTTTTGGTTTCTATTTAGAGCAGTTACAGTAATGGGGAAATTTATGCCCTACTATTTATTAACCTACTGCTCTTAGCTTATTATTCAAGAATCAAATTAAGTGCGTCGGGAATAAGTGTTTGATTTGAAAATGACCAGCAATGCTGTGAATAATCGATGCGAGAACTGTTTGGAATTACAGCGCTCGC